AATATATTTTAAAATATATTTTTTACCTAGAAAGTATATAGCTAAAGTTAATATTTGAAATTTTATTTTAAAAATTTCATTTTAAAAAAAATTTCAGGGCAGATTTGCAGGAGAAACGGTTTAAGAGATAAAGTTTTGATAAGTCAGGGCAAAAAGAAAGGAGGTTAGGAACAAAAAGTTTTTTGATTGAAATGGCAAACTCACTTCTCATTTTTTACTGTTTAAACCTTTTTTTTTCACGTAATAAACTACCTACCTTACTCATCTTAATGACAAGCTCGATTGATCGATTAAAATTAATTTCCGTTAATTAAAATTTAATTCCCGACTCATTTTTTGACATATATTGATCCATTAATTGAGGCGCTTGAGAACGCCCTAAATTGAATTATGCCTATAAGTACAAATGATAACTATAAAAATAAATTTAAAAATTATTACATGTCAGCTTATTTAAATTTCACAAGAGAATTCAGCTCCTACAATCATCGGAAATTTAATTTAAGAAGATAAACTTGATAGCACCAAAAAGCTGCTTACTAACAATAAAAATTTTATTTTTCTTAACTTAAAATAAAAAAATTAACTTTCCCTTTTTTACATTAGAACAACCCATGCAATTTCTATAATTAGTTAACTCATGAACAAGACTGAACACTAACACTCTATAACTTTATATATCAAATAACGGAACTGCTAGCAAGACTAAACAGGTTGGGACAGTCACTACTCAATCAACACAAACCAACCAAAAAATAGGAGATTTGGCAAGATAAGGCTTTTAGGTTCCTGGTCTTGTGAGTACGGTTTGTTTATTATACAAGCGAAAGACACTTGATTGTAATCGGGAATTTTTCGATATTTGTTGAAATGAGAAAATTTATTTTAGCGAATGAAAAAATAAATCATGAGTTTCTCGATTAATTTGTTTTATTTTCATTGAAAAATAAAATGTTCCATGGCTTAGTCACGTCAACCAAATTGGTCATAATTGATAAATTTTGTCAAGTAGACTTAATTGTACTTATAGTTTGGTGAGATAACCAATATACAAGGATTTAGTATCCGATGGATGATGGCCCTCTCATTACTACAGCATTAACAAATTTATTAACAAAGATCTGATAAATTGATACTACAGTCAAAGCTCACTCTTGATATAGTCACAACCTTGGTATAATTACATTAATTTTTAACTCGAGCTAATATAAAACATATAAAATTTAGTCACAATTTTTTATAATCACCAGAATCTTGTTTCCCAAGCTGGTGATTATATCGAGGTTTGACTGTATTTATTTCGTCTTTTTGCTTATAGAAGAAAGATCCTTTTTTCAATATATTAATAATAATTTTTTAATATATATATATAAGTTAATTAGTGTAGCTTATATATAAACTAAATAATAAGCTTTAAAAAATATACAAAAGTTCTGTTTATATATTAAAATTTTATAGAAACTCAAAGTTTTCACACAATTATACTAATAAATTATCTTTATCTTTTTTACAAAAAATATTTTAGTTGATTTCTGCTATTTTAGATTTTAATTTTCAACATTTTCAACTAAATAATTTTTTTTGATTATTATAGATTCTAATTCTTCGATTCTTTCAATCAATGACTTTTCTAAAGGTTCTGTAAACCTTTTGATTATAGGCTTGTCAGATGGTCCTCCAAACCAAGTAAGTCGTTTAAAAAAGCCATATGGCACATTTTTGTTCAATTCTTTGTCTAAATATATAAAATGTTAATTTTCTATTTTATGAATTAAAAAAATAAATGTACTTACAGAACAAAAAAATATAACAATTTGTCAAAAAACCATAAATAGCTACAATTGTTCCAAGAATATCTATGATCTATTAAAATAGTTTAGATTAATGATTTTGATATATTTCATAACTGATATAAAAATACTTACCGATCGACTCCTAATAAAAATTTTAATTAATGAAAATAGAAATAGAATAAATGTAAGTTATCATATATTAATGTATTTACCTTTGTTCAGTTTCTACTTCAATATAATCAGACAAAAGACTAATTAAAATAGTTGTTTGATTATTGGTAAAGAAATTTGGATTTAAAGATAAATGGGAATATATATAATTGTAAGGTTCATAAGATGAAATCCCTATGCTTGATAAAAATGTATTTCTTAATATATTTCTTTTTACTATTCTGTAAAAAAGGTTCATCTAAAAATAAATAATACTTTTTTAATATATTTTTATTCCTATTAGTGTTTAATTATTATTATACTTAACTAAAGAATTTTCAGGTACAATATAGATATTATTAGATAAATCTATTGGCGATAAATCATTAACATCGGCTAAAAACTCATCGTTGGCAGAGAATTTTGTATCTATGTCATTTATAATTAACGTAAAAGAGTCATTTGTTAATAATTCGATTCTTATAATGTTATTTAACATATTTTCTCGAAGTGAAAGCTCTGACTTTTGAGAAGTATTAGGCAAAGTATTAGGCATATTATCATAATAAATTGAAATAATTTCATTTAAACATTGATGTAATGAATCTGATGAATAGTAATAACAACTAGTAAAATTAAAATGTTGATCAGACAAAATTTGGACTTCTATATTTTTTAATAATAGTTAGTATTATAATCAAATTTATTATCTCATATATTTTTAAATCTTACTTGGCATAGGTATATATGATACGTTATATTCGTATGATTTTTTAATAGTTGGAGTTTCATTTATAGTTTTTTCAACCAAAATATAAAATGAAATCGATAGAATAAACAAAAAAATAAGAATTATAAAAAGACGACAACATCTTAATGATAATGGTTTTTCTTTCCTGAAAATATCAAAGAAAAACATTTCTAATAATATGCGTAAATAAGTTAACAAGCCAGATATTTATTTTTTTAAAGTTAGGTGGCACATAATTTTTGTATTTTATTAAGTACTTTTTTATTTAAATTAACTAGCAATGACATAATTTTTGTATTTTATTTAGTACTTTTTTTATTTAAATTAACTAGCAATGAAATAATTTTTGTATTTTATTAAGTACTTTTTTATTTAAATTAACTAGCAATGACATAATTTTTGTATTTTATTAAGTAGTTTTTTATTTAAATTAACTAGCAATGTTACATATGGCGGGCGACTTCGTCGCTCACTTGCAGTTTAAGTCATTCTGTTTAACATGTGACATGCTAGATTAATTGATTAATTGTACAAATTGATATGACCAAATCTAGCAAAATTTATGTTTATCGATATAATATATCCAAAATAAGAAATTTAACAGAAATATAATCAGTGTAAAAATTGTGTGTATAGATACTTAATTCATTTTACTTTATTTAGATGTACAATTTTGTATCTCAAATACAAGAGATTCTAAAGTTAATCCGATGATTGTGAAACCTATAGTTCTCAAGCAAGAATTTTAAAAGCCAGTCTTGTGAATTTCTATACGGAAGATGCGAATTTCGCCAATCCAAATTCATGTATAAACAAGCTGTTGCGTATGTGAATGACATCTTCGCCCAATCTTTTATTTATGTGATTTAAATTTATATATAGCTTATTGAAAGTAAAGCATAAAATATTATCACGTTTAATAATTAAAATATATTTATAAGTAAAGGATAACTATAGGCAAAAGAAACTGCTATTTGTTTATTATAAGTATTTGTGCCAACTTTCTCCATGAAATTAATAAGCTTCTCTTTTTCGAACTTATATCTTACATTGTACGAGGAACCTAGAGATGCTGGTGAAATTAGTTTCACCAATTTCACCAATTCAATATCAGTTTCACCAATAGTTGTGAAACTATTTCACCACCCCAATTTTTATTTCACTATCACCTTTAAGTTTATCCATGACAATATCTGATATACAACGCAACACAGGTATCTGATCTGTAAGTGCAATATATATTAAGTAAAATACTCTAAATATTTTTTCAGCCTTCAAATTCGATTATTTCCATCATTTAAAATGACCAAATCAGTTTCTTTGGGCTTATGCTTAGTAGAGTTATGTGATTTGTTTGGATTTACGGTACTGATATCGATGCTCTACCAGAATTTATTGATATTTACGGTTGTAGACCGGGGTAAAATCGCCACCCAAAAAAGTTTCAATCATCACGTGACAAATATATCGAGCACCAAAAAGTCATTTAAACAAAAAATTTATAGAATTAAAAATAATAACAATAAGCAATAAATTAATCATTTTATTATTTCAAATAAATTCGATAAATATAATATTTATTACAGTCAGAAAGTATTATTCCATTGCCTTTTAAAATGATTATAATCCTCTTCCAATTTATGCAATAGCTTTATTATCGATCTATTTGTTACTATCTGGATTAATCATGTTTTCTTTAATAATTTTTTTGCTGCATCTGGATTCAGCATTATAAATTTTTTTGCTCAAATAAATAATCAGAGTTATAGTCTTCTGAAAAAGTATTCAAAATAACCTCTATAAGATTTTCTGGTGTAATTGCATTTGCCTGATTAGTTTTTATAATTTTATTTCTTTTTTTATTTATCATTAGTAGAAATTTGGTTACGGCGAACGATGACTATTTTTAGAATATTTTGTTATCAGATTTTATGTTTTCAAAAGATTGCAACGATCATTTTACATTTTGAAGAATCGAAGAAAACAAAATCATTTACTAAATCAATTTATACTTTATTAAATATTATTATCATGATCCTAATCATGATGAATTGACAATACCACATGATTTTTGAAACTTTTTTGGGTCCGGTCATCTACATCTATCCAACACTAACCATAAATCAGGCCAACTTAACCTAAACCGGGCCAACTTTGTCTTTAGATACGTACATATATAAAGATATATAATCTATTGTAGCATGACAATAATAACTTCCTTTTACTTGAGATAATAATCTTAATACCGATATACAAATAAATAGTAAATTTATTTAATTATAAATAAATTGATTATCAATATGGAATTTCAATATCATCAATGCATTGACTAGTAAAATGTATACATATAAATATATTAAAAATACAGTTTAAATCTAATTTTAAAAAATAAATATCATTACCTCCATTTACTATATTCATAAATTTAGAAATTTTTACAATTATTAACACATTACTAATTTTTTAAAAAATATAAATAAATATTAATATTATTACCTGGTTTGGGGAGTTCTGGAAGATGCAAAAGTCGACTTGTATAAATAGCTTGTGGATGTGTCTGATATTTGAATTGTGTCGATTTGATTTGATCATAAATTGAAAAACTTTTGCCTGAGTCTTTAATTTGGTTACATAATTCAGTTTCTTCATTTTTCAAATCTTTAAAAAAATGATTCAGCGAATTTGCTAATTTTCCAGCAGTTGGTCGGTTTTGAGGCTCTGCGTCTAAGCATCTATTCATCAAATCCAAAAGCAATTGAGGAACTTCGCATCTAATTTTAGGTCTAAGGCCATAACAAATTCGAAATGCTAGTTCATTATCATGTGGAATATCATGATATGGAGGATATCCAGTAAAAACTTCTGACATAATTATTCCGAAAGAATAAATATCGGATTTTTGGGTATATTCCTTTCCATTCGTATACAATACTTCTGGTGCAATATAGGGAAGCACACCATAAAGTGCTTTAGAACTTGA